GTAGTATGGAGTGTAGTGTGGTATGGAGTGTAGTGTGGTATGGACAGTAGTGTAGTATGGAGTGTAGTGTGGTATGGACAGTAGTGTAATATGGAGTGTAGTGTGGTATGGAGTGTAGTGTGGTATGGAGTGTAGTGTGGTATGGAGTGTAGTATGTGGTGTAGTATGGGGAGTGTAGTGTGGTATGCAGTGTGGTGTAGTATGTAGTGTAGTATGTAGTGTAGTATGTAGTGTAGTATGTAGTGTAGTATGTAGTGTAGTATGTAGTGTAGTATGGAAAGTGCAGTGTGGTATGGAGAGTAGTGTTGCGTGGAGCAGAGACTTGGACTGTGAGAAATGAAGACATGATGAGATTGCAAAGTTTTGAGTTTGTGAGGGTTGTGGCGTCGATCAGAAAGAAAATCAGTGGGCTGAAGAAAAGTAGAAATTAGGAAGTTCGAGAGCAGGTTGTGTGTGTGTGGAGGGGGGGGGGGGTGAAGTTTCACTTGAACGATCCGGAAAAGATTTTAAAACATGTTGATTGGACAAATTCCCCAGAGGTGTGAACACTTGATTAATTAAGTTCGGTAAGCACTGGAAGGATGTTGGGAAAGAGGCCAAGAGCAAGACCATTGTGTATGCTGCCTGGCAGCTTTAAGTAAGGAAGATGGGTAGAAAGGAGGGATCCAGGGGGGTGCAGGGTGGAGGGGGGGGACATTCAGTGAAATGAAGAAGAGAGCTGAAGATCGGCGATGTGTGGGAAGCAGAGGTCGCAACCGGGTACCCGATACCCGTACCCTACCCGATACCTGGCTACCCGTACCCAGCAGGGTACGGGTAGCCGTACCCGGCAGGGTACGGGTACGGGTACCCGTTTGCGACCCTGGTGCGGCCGTACCCGGCAGGGTACGGGTACGGGTACCCGTTTGCGACCCTGGTGCGGCCGGGTAGGGGTACGGGTAGGCCGTGAGTCACTGGTGAGTAACCGTTTGTCACTCATTTCCCAACGTCTTGTCTCTTCTCACAATTCAAGTTCCTAGAATCAACCCACCCGCGCCTGCAACATGGCTTCATCCCAGAGGTCGCAATCAGGTACCCGATACCCGTACCCCGGCCGGGTACGGGTAGGGTACGAGTACGGCCGGGTACGGGTACCCGTTTGCGACCCTGGTGCGGCCGGGTACGAGTAAGGAATCAAAACCCGTTTGCGACCTCTGGTTGGAAGAGTTTGAGCGAAGGGCCTGGCCATCGGACAGAGGACCACGATGAGGAGAAACGTTGGCGTGGTGCTGACCCGCTCCTACGGGACATCTGTGAAAAAGAGCTTCATAGCTCATCGGATTCCTCCGGTATGACTACAAAATGATGGCTGTGAGTGACTGTGGACACGGCTGCGTGTAAAGTCTGGCTGTGGGAGGGCGTCGTGACAGGGAACGAGGGTAATGCGTCTGAGCAGCCTCGCTCCCCCCCGTCAGCCGGGATGGTCCAATTCCAATTCCCAGCGCACGCACTAATTAAAATGTTCCCGACAAAGCCAAAGGCTCGCAATTAGCGGGTAGATGAGATTCATAATTGCGGTTTTGTGAAAAGTGTGCGGAAGAGGAGGAGGAAGAGGAGGGAATTAACAACAAACAAAACGCCACCGTACTTGAAAAAAAATGTCACTTCTTCCACTTTGATGATCGTTATCACCACCATCATCGTCGTCGTCGATAATTTTTTGTTTAAAAATCCATTGCGCACCGGTTTCGATGACATCCCGTGGACGACGCCGCTCTCTCGGTGGAGCGTAAGCCCCCTCCCTTCATGCGTGCGTAAACACGCGTGCGGTCAGCGCATCCACGCGCAGCCTGGGCTGCCGAATGCGCGTACGTACGCACGCATGTGTACGTTGAACTTCTTTCGCACCGTGCGTAGCGAACCATGCTAATCGGAGGTGCGGGAGAAGGACATCCAAACTAAATACGAAACTAATTTCTTTGGAAATTCGTTTTAAAACTAGACGATTCAAAAGTGCATAGGTCCAGTGGCTTCCTAATATCGGCGAGAAGAGCGTTCCAGACGGCCGCAAAAGCGCATCTGAAAGCACGCGACACAGTGCCCATCTTTGTTCGATGGCTAGCCAAAAGCAGCTGCGAAGATGACCGTAATTTACGTGATGGTTTATACCCCTTGTATGTATGAACAGTATGTTGAACTTCTTTTTCACCGTACGTAGCCAATTGTGCTAATTGGAGGTGCGGGGGAAGGACATCCAAACTAAAACACAAACAAGAATTTCCAAAGAAATACGTTTTAAGTCAAAATTATTTAAAAGTGCATAGCTCCAGTGGCTTCCTGACATCGGAGACAAGAGCGTTCCAGACGGCCGTAGAAGCACATCTGAACGTGAGCGGTGTGGCGTGACCTTCTTTGATGTCACATCAACTTTCTAACGTGGTGAACGGGGGAAGGACAACACACTAGACGCACACACACAAATAAACATTCCTAAACAATTGACGTTTCAATCTAGAGTGCACAGAGTCAGCGGATCAGTCTCCACTGCAGTGCAAAGCTCTCACATCCGATTTCATGTGGGGGGGGGGGGGTGGGACAGGGGAGGAGAGATGGGGATGGAGGTGCGGAGTTGTTTATTACGGGTGCATCAACGATGTCCGTGATTATTCGTCCAAACGACTTCTTTCGTCAAGAGCGGTAAGAATTGGACGGCGACCAATTGTTTCACCGCCAAAAGGGCCATACGTTCAGTTCTGTTGAGCTGGTGGTCTGCGTAAGGCTGGCAGCTTTTGTGCGTGCAGTGCAGCTTTGCACGCAAAATTCGCTTTGGTGTCCGGGCTGCATTTTGTTTGGCTGTGATGGATTTTGTCGACATTTGCAGCTTTGACTTTGGTGCCACGTTTCATGGGTCGTGGTTCCAGCGCACTGATTCGACGCTCTGCCGACAATTGGCGTTCGTAATAAATAAAAAAAATATAAACGTTGTCTTTGGTAAAACTGAGATGAAACACGTTTGAAGTAATTTGCGATCTTTCAATGCGGCTTATCAACACCTGACCATTTAATTATCTTCACTCGCGAACGCCTATAAGTGAAAGTCTTCGCACAAAGATGATACTTTGGGACGTATGGATGATTATTATTTCTAAGTCTTTATTTTTTCATACTCTGGCATCCCATGAAAATGTTTTGCTTATGCGTGCAAGAGAAGTAGCAATGCTGCCGCGGCGAAATGGTCAGCATGCTGCACTTGCAATCCAGTCAGTGGTGGCCGGTTCAATCTCCCGGCATGGCAGTTCAAGCAAAGGTGCGAGATTCTTAAACCCATGCCTCCTTCCTCCCACCTCGTCTCTGTCCACACAGCGTTATAAACGGGTACGAGCGCAGTTAGTCGTGCGCGTTGTGGGGGGTGACGTGTGGATGCTCGCGCTCTCTTTGACAAGATTTGGTCCGTGTGGAAGAGTTGGCCTTCTCATGGAGGCCCTTCCTCCAGAAATGCTCTGAGCGAGCACTTTCAGGGCTGCACCTTTCTCCGAAACGGTCAACGCATCGCGTGTGCTTTCATACGCGCTTCCGGAACGCTCTTCCTTCCGATGTTAGGAAGCCACTGGAGCTGTACACTTTTAAATCCAAGTCGAACACTCCTTTCTTTAGAACTGCTTTTTGTGTTTTCGTTTGTTACCCTGCCCCGGCACGGATTGGCTACGTGCGGTGCGAAAGAAGTTCAACATACGTCCACATATTTACGAGAGGATATTCATACTCCAATAGCTTACTCAACTCTTTGCTGTACTGCCTCCTTATAGTCACTGCTCACACGCCCGCTCACCCACTCCATCACACACTCACCCCGCACGCTCACCCACTCACCACACTGCAATTCACAACACTTTTTGCTCTGCTTCTCCCACCCCTCTTTGCAATTCCCTCCCGTCGTCTTTCCTCTACCCTTCCCCCCCCCCCCAACTCTCACGTTTTGAAAATGATACAGGTAGGAACAACAGTTCCAGACTGCCCACCAGGGATTATTTGTCTGTCGTGCATAGCCCCTCCCAAACATGTACGCTCCCGGATTGGTTGAAGTGCGTCACGTGACCGCGAGCTTTCTGTCGTGCACGAATGCGCTGTACAACCAAGTTCTTACCTGCCCACTCCGAAGGAACGTGTTCGTGCTCGATACGACAAACATATTGACTGTATAATCTATTAAAATATTAATGGTTGCTTCCTCCGTCGATGTTGGGGTTTTAGCCACGCAACGATCCGGCCCCGAAATTTACGAATTGCAATCACTGCTGCGAAAAAATAAGAAGACGCTTAAGCGGGGCTGCATGTTGCTGACCGCTTGGCGTAATGGTCCCTCGTGCCCTCAGCTCTCGGCAAACCGCGATGAAGACGAGAGGCGCTCGAGGCAATAACCCGGTGCGGCAATGTGGTCGCGCCCTGAGTAAATGAACGATTTGAATATTTCCATTGCCACCTTACAGGATCAACCGGCTCTAATTTCCCCGGTGATGTGTGGCACGTGCACGTATGCCGATATCACAAACAGGACACCCCCGCCCGCCACCTCCCCTGCATGAGACACGAACGGAAATTCTGTAAATTCAACGAGAAAAAAAATCCAAAAACAAATTGGCTGCGGGAAAGGCAGGGTGCGAGGCAGGTAGGCAGGTCGGCAGAGAGGTCGGGAAGTAGGTAAGATGGCAGGCAGGTAGATAGGTGAGTAAGTTGGCAAGCAGGCGGGTAGGCAGCTTTGAAGGTTGGTAGGTAGGCAGGCAGGTAGGTCGATAGGTGGGGAGGTAGGTAGGTGGGTGGATGGGATGGTATTCTGACAGGCAAAATTATAATTGAACCCCGTGAAAAACCTCGTGACCTGGCGACAGGGGTTGGTGAATCGTCGTGCAAAGGTGGTGCGTGACAGACCCTCACAATTCCAAACGCACCGCCCGCCACACACCAGACGCAGATATTCTTCCCCCCCCTCTCCCTCCCCTCTCAACTCCTTCTCGGTGGCGCAGGGCGAGGAGGAGGCGGGAGCATGGCGGCTTCCCCGGCGTGGCGCCCGTCCCATCCTCCTCCGCTGCTCCGCCTGCTGGGGCTGCTCTCGTGTGCCTCCACGTGGTGCGCCACCACCACCGCCACCGCTCCCCAGGGCTGCCCGAGCCGCTGCGTCTGCCAGAGCCTCTTTCCGTCGCTGGGCACGCTGTGCACCCGCCGGGGCCTCCTCTTCGTGCCGCCCGACGTGGACCGGCGCACCGTGGAGCTCCACCTCGCCGACAACTTCGTGTCGGAGGTGGGCACCCAGGACTTCTCCAACATGACCGACCTCGTCGACCTGACGCTGTCGCGCAACCAGATCTCGGCGGTGGCGCCCTACTCGTTCGGCGACCTGGCGCAGCTCAGCTCGCTGCACCTCGACGGCAACCGCCTGACGGCGCTGCTCGCCGACCACCTGCGGGGCCTCTACAGCCTGCGGCGGCTGCGCGTCAACAACAACCAGCTGGCGACGGTGGCCGACGCCGCGTTCCAGGACTTCGTGGAGACCCTCGAAGACCTCGACCTCTCCTACAACAACCTGGAGGGCGTGCCCTGGGCGGCCCTCCAGAGCATGGTGAACCTGCACACGCTCAGCCTCGAGCACAACCTCATCTCGTCCGTGTCCGCCGGCGCCTTCGACCAGATGCCCAAGCTGTCGCGCCTCGACCTCACGTCGAACAAGCTGCGCGGCGTGCCGCCCGACCCCGCGTTCACGCACCCCGACACGGCGCTCGTGCTGGCGCTCGGGGGCAACCCGCTGCACTGCAACTGCGAGCTCCTCTGGCTGCGTCGGCGGCTGCTCGACGGCGACCTCGAGACTTGCGCCTCGCCCCGCCGGCTCCTCGGCCGCTACGTGCTGTCGGTGCCCGAGGGCGACTTCGCCTGCTCGCCGCCCGTCATCACGCGCCACACGCTCAAGCAGTCGGTGCTCGAGGGCGAGGCGACGTCGTTGCGCTGCGACGCCAGCGGGGACCCGAGGCCCGACGTGGAGTGGGTGTCGCCCAGCGGGCGCCGCGTCGCCCGCGGACCGCACGCCTCCGTGTCGCCCGTCGACGGCGCGCTGCGCATCGCCGTGACGGCGGCCGGCGACGACGGCACCTTCACCTGCGTGGCTACGAACGCGGCGGGCCACGCCACGGCCTACGTGGACCTCAAGGTCATCAACCTCCCGCACGCCGGCGTCGACAACGGCGACAACGACGGCGACGGTGCCGCCCGCGCCGGTAACAGGAACAGGGGGACGGACGAGGGGAGCGAGGAGGGGAAGGGCCGCGCGTCGGGAGGAGGGAAGCCCGCCGGTTCCTCCGACATCGCCACGTCGCCCGGCGGAGATGCGGTGCAGGCTGTGGCGGTGAGCGACGTCATGTCGGCGTCCGTGCTCGTGACGTGGACGCACGGTGATGAGCTGCGCGGACTCAAGATGTTCCAGATCCAGTACAACTGCAGCACGGACGACTCGCTCGTGTACCGGTGAGCCCTGCACGTGCCGCTGCCTCGCGACGCTGTTGCAGCAGCGTGGTCCGTGTCTCCTCCCTGGGGCAAGGGGGCCCATGATCATCTGAGTCTGGTGCAGCCCGGTGTGACGAGGCCTGGTGTGACGGGGACAGGTGTGATGAGGCCTGGTGTGTTGCGGCCTGGTGTGACGGGAACAGCTGTGACGAGGCCTGGTGTGACGGGGCCTGGTGTGACGGGGACAGGTGTAACGGGGACAGGTGTGATGGAGACAGGTGTGATGGGGACAGTTGTGATGAGGCCTGGTGTGACGGGGACAGGTGTAATGGGGACAGGTGTAACGGGGACAGGTGTGATGGGGACAGGTGTGATGAGGCCTGGTGTGATGAGGCCTGGTGTGACGGGGACAGGTGTAACGGGCACAGGTGTGATGGGGACAGGTGTGAAGGGGACAGGTGTGATGAGGCCTGGTGTGACGGGGCCTGGTGTGACGGGTACAGGTGTGACGAGGTCTGGTGTGATGGGGACAGGTGTGATGAGGCCTGGTGTGACGGGGCCTGGTGTGACGGGGACAGGTGTGACGAGGTCTGGTGTGATGGGGGCAGGTGTGATGAGGCCTGGTGTGTTGCGGCTGGCTAGCTGGTTCCCTCCAGCACCTTGCTTGGGTGGATCACTGGATGGGGCCACCCCTCATTCACATCGACGTACCTGTCACATGGGCAGGTCTGGTTGGGTGAGGGCTGCCCCCTACTGTGTTCACCAGACGTCTCTTGAAGGGTTCTCACAGGTTAGGGGCTAGGGGGGGGGGTAGCCAATGGACTACGAGATATTGTTTTTTTTACGTATTCCGTGGAAACACGGTGGAGTTCTACTGGTATTTGCCTTTACGTTTAATGTGAATGAGGTGGGGGAGATGATGGTTTAAATTACACAGGCAGGGGGGGAGGGCGGGGGGGCGATGCGAAAGGGCACTTGATGAAAATTGTTAATTTCACCCTAAGATTCAATCGTTAAAAGGCGGTGTTTTTCTCTCTCCCCCCCCCCCCATCTCCCTTACGGAATGGACTCGATGCCACCACGGTCTCACGGCATGAATAAAAAATGACAGAATGATGCATCGCTTTACCGGTGAAGCATAGCCCCTCTTACCTGTCATCGTGTTATTCATGAATCCAGTTAGCCGTTGGGGGGGGGGGGGGGGCACAGGGTGATTATTCCTGTTACCTGTGGGTCTCCAAGGATTCGTAAACAATTTGTATAATGGATGGGAAAACACTTCATCTGTAACCGTGGCGTCGAGGCCAGGCCTCAAATGAATCCCGCCTCTGGGGTTGCCACCTCTCCTGGTTTTCCCAGGATCGCCCTCTCAATTCTTCCACCCGTTGACTCCTCGCGACGATTCCCTCGCGCGTGAACTCCCCTACGTGGCAACTGTTGTATCGACCGACGTTAACACTGCAGCGTTGTTAGTCGCTAGCCGCCAGGCATTTTGGGCCCTTTTTAGGCCTTTGCACTGAGACCATAACAACTAAAAAAATAAGCCATGCTGGGAAATCTCTTAAATCATCCCAGTACATTAAAGGCTTCGGTTTATCTGAGTTGCTTCATAATGATAATGCACCAAACAAGGCAATTCACTTACATATTCTTAGGTTTTTTCGGTAAAGTCACGTAAGTATTTTTTTTATTTTATAAAAATTAATGAAAGTAAAATAAAAATAAAATAAAATAAAAATCACGACGTTTCGGAGGCAACGCAAGCTTTCGTCTTCAGGTGGAATCGTCACAGCACGAAAAAACCTAAGAATATGAATCCTTGCAGTCACGAAAGCTTCAAATCTAGAATTCACTTACAGTCAGTTCTCCTCTCCTCCGCTGTTGCGAGACGTGGAATGGTAAGTCTGCTCCATGGCTGGTGGGGGAAATGTTCCGTTTCACCTGAAGTTGTCGTGGTCACTGCCCAACCACTTTTATCTTTCATAATAAAGGTTTTTGGGTTAGATCGCGTGAGTAAAAATGCGTCATAACCCTCCACCACCCGACACAGCCAATTAGTAAGGATTTGTCACGTAAACACAACGCCAATTAGTTACTACTTCAGCTCACCGGTGTGTTGGAGTGTAAATCTACAACATTTACAATTTGAGTAGTACGACGTTTCGCTGGTAATTACATCCAGCATCATCGGGCATTTTGCCAGGATAGTGAAGCCATCCACCTGCTTCCACTCTTAAAACACATTCCTGCGAAGGGAGCTGGTAGGAACGTTGGGTTGCTCGGTCAATGGCAAATATTCCCGACTGTGAGGGCGGGTACAAGCCGGCGTGAGTAGGTTAAACGTTGAGTTGTATAAGGGCACCACGGGGTGACCAGCCCCTCCCCACCCAGCCCCACTCCTCCCACCCTCCACCCAGCCCCACCCTCCCCACCCAGCCCCTCCCCACCCAGCCCATCCCCACCCTCCCCTCCCCACCCAGCCCCTCCCTCCCCACCGAGCCCCTCCCTGCACGACGGACACAATAATCCCCTGTGGGCTGGTGTAACCAGGAGGTTCCTACCAGTATCAAGCAACAGGACGACGTCATCACTGAACCCAACCAGGTGCAGAGATCCAACACACCGGTGGGCTGAAGTAGTAACTAATTGGCGTTTTGTTTACGTGACAAATCCCATACTAATTGGCTGTGTCGGGTGGTGGACGGTTACGACACATTCATACTTAGGCGATCTCACCCAAAAACCTTTATTATGATTAATATTGGTCGCGAAAGCCCACGTGTTGAACTCAATGTTATCTTCCTGCCGCCAGAGCCCTGCGTCATCGCGATGGAGCGATTGGTGTTTTTTGTAGTTTTTTTTTAAATTGACGGTGATTATTTTTGCACTCCTTCTTCTTGCGAGGCCGTGTAAAGGCACTGCTGCTGCTGCTGCGAAAGTGGCTTTGATTGCGGTGGCCAAGGAGTGGGATTCTGTTATTTTCGTTCGTTGCAGGTGTTCGTCAATCGCAAGCGATGCTCGTCGAGGTGGCAGGGAACTGTGTTTATTGAATTCATAAACGTGCATCATGTGGGGGGTGGTGGCGGGGGGGGGGGGCTTGGGCATTAGGAGGGGGGGGGTAGAATATGTTGTCACGATGTCGTAACGTGACCACAAGTCTTTTCATAGGGGTTTTCATTTAATGGGCAGCTGCCGCAGGTATAAGCAGTCAGCAGTGCCCACACTTCACCCCACCGCACACTGCACACAGATCGACTAACTGCGGTCGTGCCCGTTTTAACTTTATACTGCGGGGTGGGCGGATGCAGTGGTGGGGGGGGGGCGGTTTAACAAACTTGCATTTTGTTTCAACTTGCGAGCTCAGTGCGATAATCATTATGCCATGGTAGCATTCCCTACCTTACGTGTAAAATGCATTTACTCGCGTCATTGATGTTCAGTTAATGATGTGCACCTCCGATTAGCACGGTTGGCTACGTACGGCGCGAAAGAAGTTCAGCATAATTGCATACATACAATGCCTATCCCACTCCATGTCAAGTTGGTTGAACAGCTGAACCCCTGGGGCTTCCGTGTGGCGGAGGGGCGGGCTGAATTATGGAATTTCAGACGTTCTATCACACAGACACAGTCTGAACCCCATTGTTCTCCAGGTGTGACTCATTCCTCTTTTGGGAGCTGGGCTTTTCTTGGCTTCTCACGTCCATATTAGAAATGCTTTGCCCTTTATCTTAATTGGCTGGCAAATTAGCCACACTCCCCTCAACAGTCGACTCCACCTAATGCCACATCGAATGGCGAAATGCGTTCCTCCTCTTCTCTGTGTATTTGCGCAACCTTTTTGGAGACGCGCATGCCGAGTGGCTCTCTCTCTCCCTCTCTCTCTCTCCCACGACAGTTGTTTTTCATTTTTTGTCTTCTTCCCGGCTGCGAAATAATCCACCATCATATGTTTGCGTATTTTCTTTGCACGAGTCATTCAAATGACAGCGTGGTCCCTTTTTTTTCTCTCTCAAGATATGATGCACTTTTTTTCACGTCCTCCATTTTGAGCGCTGTTCCCGGATATTGTCGGGATGCGTTTATGAAACATTGTGGAGTTCTATGCTGGCGCGTGTGAGTGCGCGTGTCGTGTGCGTGTGTAGCGGTCAGCATGCTGCGCTACAAACCCGGCGAACCCAGTTTGATTTCCGTTCACGGCCAACACAGGTGACATTTATCTGAACCAGTGCTGGGTCTTCCCTAGGTCGAATCAGCCTCGAATGAGTACCTGGTGCGATGTGTAAACATCCTCACAGGAGTTGAGCCACCTGGCGCAGTTTGCAAAACGTCGGTGCCGTTTGTTACCGGCCGCTTGGCGCGTTGTGGCCTTGGGGCCTTGTGCTCGGCGAGCGCGATGTGGGAAAGGAGCGATCCATATTCTTAGTTTTTTCGGTAAAGTCACGTAGGTAAAAAATTCAAATTAATAAAAGTAAAATAAAAATAAAAAATACAAATAAATATCACGACGTTTCGGAGGCAACACAAGCTTTACGTCTTCAGGTGGAACAGTCACAGCACGATAGCTCACTTGATACAGCTATCGTGCTGTGACGGTTCCACCTGAAGACGGAAGCTTGTGTTGCCTCCGAAACGTCGTGATTTCTATTTTTATTTTACCTTTATTAATTTAAATTTTTTACCTACGTGACTTTACCGAAAAAACCTAGGAGTATGAATCCTTGCAGTCACGAAAGCTTCAAATCTAGAATTAAAGGAGGGATCGTCTGAGAGAAATCAATCGCTATGGCTCCCGCATCCCACTAACCTTTACCCGCCTTCCGATCTGTGACAGGGGGGTGGGTGGGGGGGGGAAATAAACCAAACCCGCCGACTCGGCAAAAGGCTCGCGCAAGACAAACTGGGCCAGCGGTGTGTGAGGACCCAAATAAATCATCCCTCGCGATCCCCGGCGCCAAAAGGGGACGGCCAAATTTCGGGGCCGCTCTGCTCCCGCGAATTTCTGCCAATGGAAAAATGCC